CGCCGGCCTTCCCGCAGGGCCCAGCAGAGGCCGTGCCCGGGGGCCAGCCTGAGCCTTCCAAGAAGCACAGCTGCCCAGCGAGCCTTTGCTGGTGGCCTGGCCCGGGCCCGGCACTCCTGGGTGGCGGGAAAAGAGTGAGTGAGACAGACACGAGGCTCTGTCGTCGTGGACAGAGCCTCATGGGGGACCCGCCCGAGGAGTGAGGGAAAAGCAAAATGAGAATGTGTATCCCCAGGCTACCACGTGCCAGCGCTCTAGGGGGGCCAGCCAGCAGGAGGAAACAGCGGGGCCTCATTCCTCCGGCCGCCCTGGGCCACCGGCTGCCCGCCAGGCGGGTCGCTCCACCCAGCGCGGCTGCTGCGGCAGCTGTCATGAAGGCTGACAACCAGCTACTGATTCAGTGTCCTTGACAGGGGCGCCTGCGGTGGGTGAGGAGGCCCAGAGCCTGGCTGAAACAGGGTTAGGAAAGAGCAGGGCAAGGGCGCGCAGACAGCCAGTACAGACAGCATTTTCGAGGTGTTTTCTCACAGAGGGGAGCAAAAACAGGCAGGGAGTGGGGAAAGTGTAATTAGGTGTTTGAAGGCTGGTGGGAGTGAACGAAAAGAAGCAGGACCTCTGGGGCTTCCTCCCTTCGTGGCAGGCGGGCAAGGCGCGAGGGCCGCCGGGGACCCGTCTGCGGGCAGCTGCTGGAGAGCTCCGGAATGCGCTGGCTTCCGGGCCGGGCTGCGAGGACGGCTGCGCTCCGTGGCATCCAGGAAGCCGGGACGCTGTACGCGGAGCTGATTCTGAGCATCTGAAGGATTCTAACACCCATTTCTTGTGGAAGAAGGAACTACAGTCACAATCATGCTGCAGTGATCAAGCGCGAGTGTCACAATCTCCAGGACCGTGAAGCGCTTCAGGGTTTGCCCTGCTTGCAAATAAACAAGGGGCCTCACACGCTGCCATGGACACTGTCAGAGACACAAGAGGCCAGGACCCAAGATCGGGGCAGTTTGCCACTCGCAGCACCAGCAGCAGCCACATGGCAGGTGCCCACTCCCTGGGACCCACTGCCCACAGGTGACAGAGAGAGACAGGTGACACCCGAGGAGGGAAACCCCGAGCTTAAGCGATGTGCTTAAACGGGAAGATGGCATCTGCACTACATAGCAAAGTAGGCAGCGACAGACAGCTGGGAGAGCAGAGCGCGCCTCCATCTTCCAGCCTGTTCGCGCTACGGACATCCCGAAGACAGTCGGGGACAGAGGCAGTCAGTGTCTCTGCTCACGAGATGTGCAGAAACACGGGAGGCCCCGCAGCACTAGCTGACCACAGTGACCAGCGAAGACAGGAGCAGAGCACAGTGTAGACAGTCTGGCTGACACAGGGGATGTGGAAAAATAAGAAAATACTCGGCGATGTGTCGCCAAGGAGTGATGCTACGTGAAGAAAGGCCAGGCTCAGCAGGCCCCGTGCTGTATGGTTACAAGGCAAGACCATGGTGACGGGAAGCGCTCAGGAGCGTGGGGGCGCACGGGACTTACTACAAAGGAGCGTGGAGGGGAGCTGGGGAAGACAGGAACATTCCACTCCTGGATCAGCAGGGTCTGATCAAAACTCACTAAATGTACGCTTAACATGCACAAATTTTATTTTTTGCAAACTGCATCTCAATAAAGCTAACTAAAACAAAACAAACCCAAAAATAAATGTCCTGAGAACACAAAGAAAGGAAGGAAAAAAGTAAGTGGAGCCAAAAAGAAAACAAGTAGTAAGATGGTACATTTAAGTCATGATACAGAGTTAACTATAAACACATTCATGCTCCGAGTAAATGGCAGAAATAGCAGATGGGGGTAACTGGGGTGAGGCCGGCAGCCACAGTGCTCGGTGCAGGCTGAGAAGAGGAGCATGCCACGCGGACGCTGACAGACAGAAAGTCGGTGAAGCTATGTGACATTAGACAGAACTGACAGGTAAAAGGAATTTCAGGTAAAATTCCAGAATTTCAGGTAAAAAGCATTCCAGGACACAAATAGGCCATTTCCATAGGAGAACTATTTCCACGCGCTAGGAAAAGTAGATGATCGTCAGCTAGTACGTATCTGAAGAGAAAGCGCTGGAATAAAGAAATCGGATTTGGCAGAATTAAGAGAACTAGACAAATACATTCAGATTTGAGACATTTTAGTGTCCTCTACTAATTATTTATGCAATGGACAAAAAAAAAAAAAAAAGCCTAGCGCTTAGAAAGCCATCAGTAAACGTAACCTCACACACACGCACATTGCTATTGACACATCCACAGAACCCACATCCCCTTGAGGACAGACACACAGAGTGCAGAAGAGTGGACCTCTGTGGGCCGCCAAACAACTGTGAACCCACAGAAAGACTTGAGCCTGTTCGGAATATGGTCTCTGTCCACAGTGCGGTTGAGCTAAAAATCAGGAACAAAAGGGTAACTAAAAACGGCTCACACATTTGAAAATAAAGCAAGAGACATCTAAATTACCAATGGTGCAGAGATGAAGTTGGGAGAAGCTTAGGAAATCTCTTGACTCAATGACATTGCAACGATTATATATCAAAAGCGTGGGAGGAAACGTCACTTCGGGCTCTGACACGGAGTTTATATTACACTAGCCTTCCTGCTGGAAACAAATATAAAGGCAGGACTGAATTTAAACAGCTCCTTGAAGGCACGGGAGAGAACCCAGCAAGACACAGAGAGTCAAAACTCCAGGGACGGTCAAGGAGGCACAGGAGGTCTGCGCCCTGCTGTGTGTGGGGTGCCCCGGGGTGCCCCGGGAGCTCCGGTGCTGGATATAGGGGCCAGGTGCAAACCCACAGCCTCAGCCTCCAGCTTTCTCACCAGTCCGGCCGGCTGGAGGGAGGCCAGCCTTCGGCGCTTAGAAGCTGAGGGATCAGAGGCGTGAGTCCGACTTTCTGCCTATAGAGTTGTAAGGTAGCTATGCTGGTGTCAAGAATCAGATGGAATATGGCAGGAGGGAGGGTACAGAAAACACTAGCAATTTTTTAGTTCTTGGGAAATAGGGATAAAAATTCCAGAAAATTCCAGGTGAAGGACTCTGGTGATACCTAGCGTTTCAGCGGAGACTTAGGAACTTCCATTCACTAAGAGTGAAAGTCAAGGGCCCTCCCTGGTGGCGCAGCGGGTTAAAGCACTGCACTAAGAAGCTAAAGCCGCTTCCGCATGAGTTCAATCCCCGCCTGCCCCAGAGGTGACCCACATGGTGCGGCAGACCTCTCCTGACCCGCCCACTGCTCCCCTCAGCAGTGTACTTTGTCAATCTGCCTGTACTGCTCCCCACTCTGTCTCTGGTGAATCCTCTCACCCTCCACATCTCTGGCCTGTACCCCAGTTCTATATGAATAAATAAATAAATCTTTTAAAAAATTATAAAAAAAAAAAAGAGTGAAAGTCAAGACAGGAGTGAGGCAAACTGAAGACAGCCTGAGTGCAGCCTCGACTAAGTCCTCCGAGGGAAGACACCGCCACCATCCGCCATCTGCACAGTGGCTTGCAAACTGGACGAGGCCAGAAAGTGACCAGAGGGTACAAAATCACAGGGGATCTAGATATTCGGCTTCTCAAGTCAGGGCTTTAAAGATTTGGTATGTTCAAGAAAATAAAAGATGGGATATAGAAAAAGGAAATCAACTGACATTCTAGAACTGGAAGCCCGATAACTGGTATGAAGTGTTCAACCCATCAGTCTAAAATGATACATGTCGAAAGCCACACAAGAATGAAAGAAAACATGGGAGCTGGGAGCTGTCTGGTTTTCCCAGAGACTGGTCAGCTCTCACCAACCAGAATCCATGCAGCCCCAATCAGAATCTCAAAACCCAAAGTTTTTGTTTATTTTTTGTGTGTAACTTTTTTTTAGTTCAAAAGTGCTAAGAGCTAAGAAAAGCCAAGCTAATCTTGAAGAACAAGTTGGTGAACGTGTTCCACCAGCTATCAAGATTTATTATAAAGTTACACCAATGAATTCAACACCAAAAAAAAAAAAGGTGGGGGGAGGGAGACAGCAGAGTATTTGTGCAAAAAGAGAAAGCAGTGACTCTAAGTGCCATTCACACAGAGAACTGATCTCTACAGCCGAGCTGCATCCAAGAACAGGGGAGAAGATCTGTTGTCAATGAAAGGGTCTGGGGAAACTGGGTCTCCAAATGAAAGATAATCTGAGCCCAATTTCACACCCATCCTTAAAGAAGAGAATCACAGGCCTCCCTGGTGGCGCAAGGGGCTGCCTCAGCACTGAGAAGATACACAGCACAAATTCGATCCCCGGCCAGGGGATCACAGACTTCTGTCTTGCCTCGTGGTCCCCTCAGCAATGCTCTGCTCCCCCTTTTGTCTCTGGTGAATCCTCTCCACCCCCCAAAAAGAGTCCTACAGTTCTACAGTCTACACCCCAGTTCTTGTATGCATAAGCAAATCCTTAAAGGAAAAGAAAATCAATTCCAGGTAGATTAAGATTGAGCACTCTTATTTATCAGTGGAACCCATCAAGAAAGGGGAGAGACGAAGCCCAGGGTAGGTGACCAGAGCACGCGAGCCCACAGAAGCCTGCCTGGAGAATGCAGACACACAGAGGAACCGCCCAGCCTCCACAGGAGACAGAACTAATTTTAAAGTTAAAACAACTGAGCTGGTAACTCACCGAGGACACTCGTGGCTTATGAACGCGTCAAAAGTCAGGCAGATGCCTGTTCTGCTCCCTACTCTGTCTCTGGTGAAGCCTCTCACCATCCCTGTGCCTCTGGCCTGTACCCCAGTTCTGTGTGCACAAATAAATAAATCTTAAAAGAAAAAAGTCATGCAGATGCCAGTGCAAGCCTCAGCCACGCCCCACCGCACGCACCACCGCGTGGCATTGTTTTGAAAACTGGCGACCGCCAGGTGTCCGGATGGGCCTCACGAGAAATCGTCCATGCCGGGAGGCTGGAGGGCGTCTGTCCACCGGCGAGGGCAAGCCTGGGCCCCGCCACTCCACGCCAGGTCGGCCGACCAGGAACCGTGCACAGAAAGCGCCCGGGGCCGCCCTGCACGCTGCGAGGACACGCCACCCGCGTCACACGGCCGCCCGCGTGGCTCTCCCCAGCGCTGGGCCAGCGCCAGTCGCCGAAGCGGCTACCCCAGGAGTCAGGCGGATGCTTACCCGCCCTTGGGGAAAGGGGCCGCAGAGGGGGCTCCCGGGGCGCTGCGCCTTCTTTTCTCAACCGGGGTGTGGTGACAGAGGCTTTTGTGACAACTCTGAGGCTGTCTCACTATTTAAAAAGTTTAAGGGGGGTGGCGGCACTGAAGAGGCAGTGCCCACAGGGAAGGCAGAAGCGAGAAGATTACTCTCCCAGGAAAAACACCACCTGGTGGGGTGGGAGGAAATACCCAATAAAGAGAGGGCAGACGCTGGCAGGAAGTCCTGAGGCAGATGAGGGCCGGGGCTCGGGGTGGGGGCTCCCCACAGTGGGGGGGGCAGCGGGCCAGGGAGCTCTCCTGGCTTCTGTTTTTCTCAGCCAGGTTAGTGGCTGACAGAGAGCCTGGAGAGGGTGCTGGAGGTTGAGAGTGGGGGTGGAGAACAGGGATCCTGGGGGGGGGGCTCTGGCCACTCTGCAGAGGTGGAGTGACCCATTCAGAGGACCGGCGAGGGGGTCCCTGGGAGTGCCAGCACGCAGGGTTAAGGGTCATGCAGGAGCAGAGACGAGGAGGAGCTCACGCCCTTGGGGATAGGGAAAGCACCCCCAGGGGGAGGGGGTGGTCCAGGATGATATGAGTCAAGGCTGAGGGGTGGAGAGGACCCAGCCCAAGGGGAGGAAGAGGAAGAGAAAACTCTCGAGAGGACTTTAGGACAGGCTGGTGTGGTCTAGAACAAGGAGGTGAAAGAAAGATACAGAAGAAAGCTTAAGGCTCTCGAGGACTTGCGGGGTGTCTATTCCTTCTTCTAGAACTGAGCCCACACACCAAAGCCACCTGGCGTTAGCCCTGTGAAGCCTCAATCCTGACGGGAGCCTGTGGATGTCGGGGTGGGGGGGGCATCTGACCTTGGGAAATGCCTGTAGATACCTGGGCGTGAATTTGGCCAGAGACTGAAAGGGCCTCCTGGCGCTCTCAAGAGAACCCTCAACCCGAAAATGTCCACGATGTGCCTGAGCCCTCTGCGTTTTCCCCAGCAGATGCCCAGGTCAGAGCGACCTGTCTCTGGCAACTGTCGGAGCTCCGGGGGCAGAACCTGCCTTATCTGCTCTGCTCGGCGAAGCGGGCCCACGGACTGGAGAAGTGGATGAGCGAGCAAGTCACGGATGGGAGCCAGGCCGCAGCCCCCCAGGGGTTTCCTGACAAGCGCAGAGAGCCTCAACAGTCAGTCCCCTCTTGAGAAGCCAAGAACATGTCACACGTGCTTTGATCTTCCCTCCTGGGATCCCTGGGAAATAGCCCTGCTTCTGCTCAGATACCCCTGAGGGTTAAGGGGTCACAGACCGCCAGTACAGGCCCGCAGAGGGTGAGTCCTTCGCTGTCAGAGTGGACATGCGTGACCCCTGCAGAGTGGGCCCTGGGAGGACAGCAAGAGGGGGCCCTGGAGCCAGAATGCCCTGCGTCCAGCTCTGTGTGACCCTGGGAGGGCACTTCAGTGCTCCAAGCTGGAGCTCCTCATCTGTAAGATGGGGTCACTGACCCCTGCCTTCTGCAACTGTGACTAGGGACAGGAGCTAAGGCTGATCGCGGTCTGCAAGAGCACACTGGACATGTTGCTATTACTGCCCAGACCTGCCAGGGTCCCCCTGCTCCAGCCCGCAGGGCCTTAGGTCATGAAAGCTGGGGGTTCAGAAGACATGTCTCCAGCCCCCCCCACCCCCAAAGCTACACAGTCGCGGGACCCAGAAGCCCCTCCCAGGAGTGAGGCTGACATCCGCCTCTCACCTAACACCCCCAGGCACTCTGGAGACAGTTGCCAGCCCTGTGGGAGATATCAGAAGTCAGGCCCTGGGCCCCGAGCCCACCTTCTGTGTGCAGGCTCCAGGGCCAGGGGCCTCGGGCTACTCGCACGTGGGGCCCTCACTCTGGTGTCCCCAGTGGGCCATTTTGGCAAACTCACCCCCACACCCCACTCTCAGCCCTCCCAGCCTGCTCGCTCTGCTGCCCTGGACACCCAGTCCAGCAGGCCCCACGCTGGGTGCTGGGGA